GCAACGCCTGGCATAGCCGACAGCGAAGAAACCACCGGCACAGCTTCGTGAGGTTGATTAAAAACGCAACCGAACTCTTCGGCCTTTACGGCGCTCATTGATTTGCTGTGTCGCTCGAGTTCCTCACAGACAATTTGCCTCACAGAGGTCACAAGGTCCCAATGGATACTGTAGCTGTTCTCAATGCCTTCCACCGTTGCAACATTCGCCAACCTACTGAACTTTGGCGTGATACGGTGTACCTTCAATGTCTCAAATGTGCAGCAATGATTGATCACGTCCGCTACCGAATCGAGACTCTCCTAGCCAATCAAGTAGGTATACACGTCTTCGGCAATAACATTCAGAAGATGCCCGACTTTCTCCTCTTCAAACATACGAGGATTCGCCGTCTTACACAGCTTCAGGATTGTCTCAATGTACGTGGTACAAGTCTCACCAGGCACTTGAGCATGCTGAAGTAATGTCTGCTCGGCTCGCTTACTTTTCACAGTGGAATCCCCAAAGCACTCTGTGAGTTGGATAGCGAAGTGATCCCAGGTTATTAGCGACTTTTTGTGGTTCTCGAACCACACAAGAGCAGTGTCTGTCAGGAAGAGAGCAACATACTCTAGCTGAGCCGTAGCATCCCAGCCGTTGCACTTGCTCACGCGTTTGTATTGTGTCAACCATTCTTCCACGTCCTCGCAGGGTATCCCTGAGAAAGGGCGTCGCTCCAACTGACGCATCCAGACACCGGGTGTCCGCGCCGAAGGAGTTGAAGATGACTGTAGGTCATCGTCATTTGACATCGCGAGTTCCAATAGTGTTGGAGGCAGTCGCGCAAAGCGCCGGCTTCGGCGAGGACCTAGCGGCAGTGGCCCCGTCGTCTTGGGCAATTACCCAGCACCTCCGCCACAAAACTGTTACGGTTGAAGTCGAAGGGTGTTTATTAGCAGGGTGAGGTTGATGGTCCAGTAATAATGGCATCGGTATCTGCAGCAATATTATATTGAGATTTTATTAGATCTAGGGCACCCCCTGGGCACCACAATGAAGGTTGGCCGCCCTCTAACGCGATAATGCATGCCCGGTTCGCAGCCTACAATGTGAACTTACGCCAACATTATTTTGTTATCAAGACCAAGCGAACCACTGTGAGAAATGGCATTGCCAAAACCAGCTAGGTATGTAATCGGGGCCAAGGAAGCCTTATCCACTTTGCTTCCGTAGAAGTACAACATCCAAATCAAATGATGTCATATACACTCAAACCTTGTCATAACGTAACGGGATATAACGAAATAATGAATGTAAAGAAGTAAATAAAATTCCCCTTGAAAGCTCCATTGGAAACCATGCATATTAAACCTCATTGTAACGAAATAAAATTGACCAGTAAATACATATACAGTCGACTCCCGGTAATTCGAAGATGCTTAATTGGAAGTTTCGGTTAATTAGAAATGAGCAAGTGGTCCCATCAATTTTGCATGCAATCGTATAGAAAAAAATGCTCGATAATCCGAAGTTAAAAACCCATAATATTGGTTAATTAGAAGTTTTTTCAATCGACAGTCTCGTCGCGACCGTAATTTTACAGTAAAATGGGGAACTTTTCATATGCCAAAACATCTGCCGGACCGCGCTGGTGTCTTCGCCATCACTACTGTCCGCAGCGCCACAGATCTTGAAGCGGCAATCTTTTTAACGCTGGCGAATCGCATCGGCGGCATCGACTGACTCTTTAGTTGACTTTTGTCGAGACTCGAGTGTGTCACCGCATCACCCGCGCGCTGCGTTGATTCCACACGTGTTTTCGTGCTTCTGATTTTGAGTGTTGTGGTGGTGACGTGCGTTTGATAATGGCAACTCGTGGCCCTTATCGAACACTAGACCTAGCGACGAAAGTCGAAGTCTTGAAGGAAGTTGACCAGGGAGGCACCGCCAAACAAGACATTGCAAGAAAGTACGGCATTAAGCCTAACATGCTGTCGACTTTCATAAAGAATAAGCGCTCAATATTGGATGCGTTTGAAAGTCAAAAATTCAAGACATCGCGGAAGCGGTTGCGCACCGGCGCCTACCCCGAGTTGGAGGAAGCACTGCTGATTTGGATCTGAGAGGCACGAAACAACAAACTTCCTCTCAGTGGTGAAGTCGTCACGGCAAAAGCGTCATCGCTTGCTGAAATGTTGGGCATCAACGACTTCGCTGCTTCGGATGGGTGGCTTACGCGTTTCAAACATCGCCACGACTTGATCTTTAAAAGCGTGTGTGGGGAGAAGGCGTCAGTCGATGAGGAAACGTGCCTGACATGGAAAGCGGGCAAGCTTCGCGAGTACCTCGAAGAATACCAGCCGGCAGACATTTTTAATGCAGACGAGACTGCGCTTTTTTATCGGCTGCTACCGGACAAGACCCTGACATTTAAAGACGACGACTGTTCTGGAGGCAAAAGAAGCAAAGAGAGAGTGTCAGTGCTAGTCGCGGCGAACATGACTGGCACAAAACGGTGTCGCCTGCTTGTGATCGGGAAGGCTGCCAAGCCTAGGTGCTTTAAAGGCGTGAAGACGCTTCCTGTGGATTATGCCTCGAACAGAAAGGCGTGGATGACATCCGATATATTTAAGGGCTGGATCACCAAAATCGACCGCAAGTTCGCGCAATCAAGCCGTAAGGTGTTGTTCCTTGTGGACCAATGTAGTGCCCACATGAACGTACCTGCCTTGAGTGCCATCCGTCTTGTGTACCTGCCAGCAAACACGACGTCCATGTTGCAGCCCATGGACCAGGGCATAATAAAAAATGTGAAGGTATTGTATAGGCAGCATCTCGTCGAGCGCATGCTTTTGTGCATGGACAACTCGTCGCAATACGAGGTGAGTTTGCTGAGTGCCATCAACATGCTAGCGCGAGCTTGGACCCGCGTGAAAGAAGAAACCATCGCCAATTGTTTCCGGGCCTGTGGTTTCATGGAAAACTCGGGGTATGCTTCTCTTTGTGCGCCAGTGGAAGTGCGAACAAATGAGCTCGACGACGGTAGCTTTCGCGCCGCTCTCGGTGACGCCCGTTTTGACGAGTATCTCGCTGTGGACAGCAACGTCGAAACATGCGGTCCACTAACGGACAGCGAAATCGTGCAGATGGTTCGGCCCCATGACTGCATTCCTGAAAATGACGATGATGACGACAACATCGGAAATGAGCCACCACCGAGGGCTGCCGATGTAGCTGCGGGTCTTGCTCTTGCGCAGCGGTTTTTTGTTGGAGAACACAACGCCGAAGAAGCACTTCAACACGTGTATTCCTTACAAAACTTGCTAGCCGCAGCCAGATTCGGCAAGCAGAAGAAGATGACAGACTATTTTTCCTCAAAACTGTCGTGCTTTTAAACTAATAAAAGTACCGTTTTTAGTGCTTTTTGCTTAATTCGAAGTTCGTTTAATTTGAAGTTTTTTGCGGTTCCCGTGAACTTCGTATTAACGGGAGTCGACTGTAAGGAACGAATTTATTCTATCAAATAGTCTATAAAAAAACGACCGTAGTGTGTTAAGTATATCGGTTTCTGCGGAGTTTGACGCTCGTTCGGCGCGGCTTTTTCAAAACTCCCGCACCGACTTTACAGCCATGCGATGCGTGGCCGAGAGAGCCGTCCTCCTCACACACCCAGCGGAGAGGATTGAGGAAGTGCTAAGCGGGTCACATGACCCAGAAGCGGCGCTGCGTAGCAAAGCGATTTCTTTTTGATTTACGCGCCACGACGGCAACGACTAAGTCTCCGCTGCTACCCTTTGCACCAAAAAAGGAGGACTCTTCGCGGCAGTTTTATATTTTTCCGCTTTCTCCGCGCCCGGCCTTGCAAAAAGAGGGGTCTCTACGTGCAGAGACGGAAAAGGACGAAGCGTGGCACAGGGGCATCACAGATCGGCATTTGAGAGAGAGCAAACAATCCGCCACAGTCTTTTCTTTCGTTTTCTTTTCCTTCTTTGTGTGCAGCATTGAGAGGTGCCGCCGCGAGATCGGGCATGGTGCTGAGAGCATTTTCGGAGCGCGGTATGTTCGAATTAACCGTCGCAAGTGCTTGCACGTTTGAATTACAGGGCGTTTTCACCCATTAAAATACACAGCTTTGACGGGACCTCAGCAAGAGTTTGAATTCACCGGAAGTTCAATTAAGTGGGTTCAAATTGAAGAGATTCGACTGTGTTTATTTTCTGTCACACACGTGGTCGCGTAGCAGTACATCGGGCCGCGAAGCAGTTTCCTTCTTTGCATGCTTATAGGTGTGCGCCCATCTGAGCATACATCGCCACAAACTGTTATAATTGATATAACGAAATAATTGTGCCTCCCCTTCAACTTCGTTATAACGAGGTTTGAGTGTACCGGAATTAATGAGCTGCATACAAGAGTCCACAGTTTTTGTCTGATTCGAGCATTGTGTACTGCATTGCGTGGTCCCCGCGGGATGCTGCCTCGTGCCCGTGTGAAAGCTCGCGATCACAATGAAAGTAGCTACGCATTCAGAGAAAAACAAGAAAAAAAACAAAAAAAACAAGAAAGTGCTGAAGGTCAGGACGGGCATGCTCCCATCCTCACAAAGATGCATCTTCTAGCCCCCTCGTTGTCCGCATCTCTGCATTGCTTTCTGTGTGCTGTTCGGTGAAGCAGGGGATGTAATTGCTTGAAGCATGCTACAAATCCATGCAACAACGCGTGTACTTCACAAATTACGAAAAGTTTCGTGGTGTTTGACTCGTGAAGCGTCATGAGCCAGCACACTCACACCTTGACATAACGAACCTGGATATAACGAAACATCGGCTATAAGGAAGTAAATCAAGAATAGCCCTGCAGTAGATACAGTGCTAGGAACATTGCTATATAAGGAATTTTCTGATATAACAAACTTATTTTTGTGCAAGATGCAACTTTGTTATAACGAGATTTGAGAGTACTGAGACCACACTTTTATAATGCAGGGAGGTGTTGCAGGGCCTTGTTAAGTCAATGCGTACCTCGTGGCTGGCTCTCCATCCTTTGCCATTTTTCGCTTCGTCATTGCTCTTCTGGACGACGGCCCCCCGCTGACTTCGGGTGACATGGTTGGCATCGCGGATGACGTGGTCGGCATCGACAAACCACTGTGACCCGTCGACGTGGAGAGTTTGTTGATGTCAATGTCTGCGCCAAACTGTTGTAGGTGAGGCAGCAACAGCTGGGCAATATCCCTGGCAATGGGAGCGGGTGCTTGAGCAAATGGCTCTCCTCCCTGCAATTCAGGTGCAGTTTGTGAACAGAAATCGCTTCCTCAGGGATTGCTGCTTGAACAGAACATGAGTACCTGAGCACGAAAAAAAAAAAAAAAACATATTTAGTTATTTGTGACTAAAATTCTAGAAACTCTTAGTGAATGATACTCCAAAAGAAAGCTGATATTTTTTTAATTGAGCCATATACTGTAATTATAATGACTTTTATACATTAAACTGTCCGTTGAATGTCGTAGTGACCAATTTTGAAAAAGGCCAATATTTTATAAAGACTTTTAGCTGTTTACACAGGGTTTGTACAGGTTTACAAAGAGAAAATTCAAAGATAATCAAGGACTTTCCAAGCCTTGTAAAGTTTTTCAAGGACTCAAAACAGCCTGCTAAGTTGAAATTTCTCGCTCTAAAATTTTCATGACTGATTTTATTGTAGTTACAATAAATATATGAATATTGCAATTTGAAAAAAAAATCCAGTCTTAATACCTTCTCGCACCGTCTCCCTCAATCTCTATAGGGAAAGGGTATAATGCAGTGCCAGAAAGTTACGCATTGATGGGCTTCAACACATATGTGTAGGTGGGCCTTGAAGGGGTGGTGCCACAGTATTTGTGGCTTGCGCGCTCCTTGCTGCAAGCATTAACTGTAGCTACAAAAAGCATAATACACACAACGAGATTTATTTATTCTCGCTAAATAATTTATCTCCTTACTGATATAAACAATTTCCAGTTCCTGTTTGTGGGCATTGAGTTGGAGTTGGGCAGGTACATAGCAGTATAGCTGACTTAGTCACACGATCACAAAGCTTGGCACACATCATTCTGAGTATCATCTGCTCTCGCACATATGTGCCACACAAGCACCTGCGTAACAAATGCGCCGCTAGCTGCAGCAGTTGCGATGCTTTGCCGGTACGTATGTGGCGGAAGTCCGGAGGTCACTCACCTCAATACAGATTTGGTGTGACGTCACTACAAGTTTTATTGCCCTTCTTATAGAGCGACGTCAGTGTTGGACCTGCTTGTGATGGGCCTCGATTAGAAGAATGAGCATTTAGGTACACTTGGGAAGTGACTTAAAATATATTCTTAACGTTTCCCAAGCCTGACCACTCATGTGGAGTGTCCTTGCCCACACGGTTCTTGCTATAGCCTTAAAATTTGATGGCACCACCCAATTAGGAGTGTTGGCTTGTGCACAGTAGACACTTGCTGCACGTTGCTCAACAACCAAAAAGAAACAACCGTGACAGTGGTTAATTTACACTCATCCTGTAAATACAAGTGTGTTATTTTCAAGCATTCTTCTTGTTTAACTCTTTCAGTACGGCGCCATAGGCCATCAGACACGGGTGTCCGATGACTTCAAATCTCCCGCAAAAAATAAAAGCAGCGCTTTACAGACAAGTTGCGCCATCTGGCATACTCTTTGAAAACTCCTCTTACAGTTCCAGCTTGGTTTGTTTACATTTCGCGCCCCGCCGTGCCACTGAAGACGACACTTGAACCGAAAGTGGTTTCGAGTTGCGTGCGAGAATGGCGTCCCGTCAGCGTCGCGCTCCTCGAAAGCAGGCTCCTGCTGCAAGTATTTCGGTCGCTTCTCATGCCGATTTTTCTGACCTAAGCAGTAGTGATGGCTCAAGCAACGATGCGGGATCGTCAGATTTTAGCTCGGACGACGACACTCCTGCTGCGCAGGGGCCTCAAGCTTCGACAAGCGCTTGCAGGTGAGATTCGTTTTCAACTTCGCGCTGTGTATATATAAAAAAATGCACTTCATACTTGACGACAGTGCTATTGTTTGTTTCTTTAGGGCCTCAACAACATATGACCGGGATACTTTGCCGAACTCATCGCCCCGTGTCAAGTTTTTGCCAACGAGAGAAGCAGGTGCCTATGTTGGAGCAGTGATGCGGAGCGACGCGCGTCGGTTCTGTAGAGCGCTGGATTTTTTTCTTTTGTTTTTCACGACCGAAGTGATCAAGACGGTGTGCGAGAACACAAATAAGTACGCCTGGATGCACATATTGGGGAAACAAACCTATTCTCGGCGTGACGGCTCCTGGGAGGAAGTCACTCCATTGGAGATGCTGCGACTAATTGGACTCATCATCTACATGGGCCTTGTTGAAGTACCGCGACTGCACTTATATTGGCGGACCACAGGAACATTCAGTGGCCTGCTGCCACCAAATATTATGCGACGACACCGATTTTTCGCGCTGCTTGCCTTTCTGAGTGTAGGGGACCCAGAAGACGCAGCGGCGGCAGCATCTGATGGAAAGACATGGAGGGTGTCTTGGCTGCTGAGGCACATAAATCAGCAATCAGTAAATTTCTTCCAGCCACAGTGCGACCTCTCCGTTGATGAACGTATGGTCAAATCTAAAGCCCGATCAGGAATCAGGCAATACATTAGGGACAAGGTGACTAAATTTGGCAATAAACTCTGGGTACAGGCAGATTCGAAAACCGGATACACACTTCAATTCTTCGTGTACACTGGTAAGCGTGAGGCACCGGGGCCTCATGGCTTAGCCTTTGACGTAGTGAACAGGCTTTGTACACAGTACCTTGATCAGGGATACAAAATTTATATGGATAATTTTTACACATCAGGGAAACTTTTTGAACATCTGCTTCAGCGCAAGACACTTGCATGCGGGACAACTCGCAAGGACCGTCACTGCTTTCCAGCTGAATTGAAAGACACTGCATGGGAAAAACGGGCACAGCGTGGAGACATTCGATGGATTCGGAAGGGTAGCATCCTCTACATGCAGTGGAAAGACCGCCGGGCTGTGAACTTGATGAGTACAATGCACACGGCAAACCAGCATGTGCCGGCCAAAAGAAGAGAGCGAAGGGGGAGCCAGTGGGCTCTGAAAGTAATCAAAAAGCCGCTCCTTGTCCACGAATACAATGCTGGGATGTTAGGTGTGGACAAATCGGACCAAATCATTGGCACTTACAACGTCCTCAGAAAATGCGTGCGATGATGGAAAACTTTCTTTTTTCACTGTGTTGACATCGCGTGCGTGAACAGCTTCATTCTCTTTCAAGAGCACCGAAAAAACAACCCAGAAGTCCCAGAACTTTCCAGGAGCATTTATTTTGATCAATTGGCCTTTAGAGAAAACTAATTCATCAGATATTTGATTATGACGAAGTCGCGCAAGGACACGCCCCCATTTCACCCCCCTTCGCACCATTGGACCCTCTTCGGCACCAACCAAAAAGAATGGATAAAAGAAGAAACTGTAAGATTTGCTACGAGAAAACAAAAACACAAAACAGAACAAGTGTCTATTGCTCCACCTGCAAAGTTTATCTTTGTTTCGTGCCCTCGCGCGACTGCTTTGCCGAGTGGCACAGTCGTCAAGGCCGCTAGATTTACCGGCATCCAAAAATGCAGTACTTAGAGCACCGCATTGATATATATACTAACCGATAGCTGATAGAATAGGGAACAATTTGTATATTTCAGAATTTCAAAAATAATTTTCTGGTTAAGCATACTCGCTCACTTTTTTGTGTTTGTACTTTTTTTGTGCATGTTTGTCTGTAATTGACAAATAAACTTTCAATTACTATAAACCTCACAGCACTGTCCTTTTATAGTTGGAAATCCAAATGAAAAAGCTACGATTTGATATATAGCAATGCTAAAAGCTAGCAGTTGTTCAAGAGAAAAAAATTTTTTTCTGGAAGCACTGAAAATCGGCCAATTTTCCTCCGTAACGAAAGAGTTAAGAAGCACATTTTCAGTGTTTAGCTGTGGCAGTTGTTCATCTGCAATCGTCCCGAGCGCTTTTTTTTTCGTGCGTTCTTTGTGCTTGAGCGGCGCATTGTATGTAGGGAGTGGCTTGCACTTCTTGGTGTGAGATTCTAATTTCTTACTATCGCATTCTCTTGCCACGAAACTAACTTTTTTTTCATATTCATGCTTGCAAAATGGGACCTTCTACGCCCACGCTGCCTTACTGCTTCAGAAATGGGGAGTTTGACAGATTGACACACCGATCTAACACATTTAGGAGGTCACGATGTCGATATGAGAGTGCACTGCTCCTGAAATTTAAGAATTTTCAAAGACGGCGAAAAATTCTAAGACAGTCAAGAGCCTTGAATATGCATTCTTTTTTAAATGCAAGGAATCCAGGGATATGTACACACCCTGTTTACAACTATGGATGTTTTTTTTTCTGACTGGGCATGCTAGATGTCCCATGTAAAGTATTTGCACAATTGTAGGTCAAGTAACTAAGTCTTAATTTGAAATTCCAAGTTGGGGGGGGGGGGGGGGGTCGATCTGAAATCCAGAAATAGTTTCAGTTGTAAAGTCTTTCTGAAAATGATTCTTGCGTGTTGTAACAAAGCTAGCTTTCCTGCACAGTTTTCAAGCACTGCAGTGAAGCCATTTTGGCACACCGAAATTCGATTTTTTTTTGGGGGGGGGGGGGGGGGGGGGGGTGCACCCTGGAAAAATTTGAAAAGAAAAATGTGTGCGTGCCTTCTCCCCTACCATATTTTTTTTTTTCTTTCGTCCGCGGGATTTTCAGGGGGTCAACCTACATTCGAGTCGACTAACGATCGTGTAGACATCGTATCACAGATAAGCTGAAATGGAGACTGTTATATCAGGCTTGACTGAGACTTGGCCCCATGGTGCTTTTTCAAGTTGGGGGCAGCAAATCCTGCTGACCGAAGTGCAGACAGAGAAGCGAGTGAATTATATCTTTATGCAATGAGAGGAGTGCATGTTGAGTTAAATGTATCATATTGAGATTGAGAAATAGTAAACTTGAGGTTCACAAAGTACAAAAAGCAAATAGTGATTTGGTCAGATAATTTCTAATCTAATAGATCGAACAGTGTATACAGTCGCGATAAATTTTTTGAACTCCAAAAATTCGAACTTGTTGGATAATTGTGATTTCACAAATGCATCATCAAGGTTCCTATTGCACAAATACATTTTCGCGACTAATTTTTTTTGG